ATATATATATATATATATATATATATATATATATATATATATATATACATATTAAAAGCTTTGTGTGAAAAATGCTATGCTAAAGAGCTCAAACCACATTGAGCGTCCAGTTTGAGAATCAAAGAGAGACAGTCCATGACATGTCAAGGGGCCTCCCTCCCATTTTTCTTAATGGGACACCTGCTCGCTCCCTCACTATCCATCCTTTGGTTCAGTCCTATACTGCCATCCAGTAGTTGAAAAAACGTGTCTACACTCAAATCAAATTAACAAACATTTCCTCTTAAATTTGACAATCACTAATTATTGCCAAATTTCAAACAATATTGTTGTTTATCGCGATAATTTCTGAGATGATTAGTCGCCCAACAAAATTTGTTATTGTGGCAGGCGTAGTTTTGTCTATTTGTACAGTGTATGCAAGCATCTGATTTCAACTATATTCCTGATGCCTTCAACACAAAGTCCCTTGTGGATAAATAAAATCCTTTTGACCTTTGGATCCCCCTTGATAGGCAGTGGTTACCAAATGTTTATACAATAATTATGACAAACTGTAGCCAAACTGTGATCTTTATTGATGCATTTAGAAACATGGATTAAAATTCTCCATCACCACAACGGATTTCCATCATCTGTAAACATGAGGAGGGGGAATAAAGTGTTTTTTGTGATCTTGTTAAAACCATCCAGTCTAAAGATGATGCAGGAGTTAAACTGATGCTACTTGATTCACAGTTTGACCCAATTAGAGCAGAGCAGGGTGAGTCCTGCTGTCTGGTTCATGGTGAGCCCAGATGTGAGCAGCAGAGCATGTGACAGCTCACCTGCATAAAGCCAAGGAGGACACCCCAGAGCCCTATAAAGAGAGAGTTGCGACACTCCCATAGACTCCCATAGAAAGAATGGAATGCAGAAGTCACGTGGGTCATGAAGCGGCAAGAAATTCCAAACAGCAGCGGGTTCAGCATTGAACGTAGTTCATTCTCCGTGTTTTTCCGGTAAGTTGATGCAAATGCGACACTTTTTTGCCATTTTGAAGCGTTATCCGACTGTTCTGTACCACAATTTATCAACATTAATACTTCATGTCGCCAGTTTTAGTTAATGAAACATGTTAAATTACTAGTTGTGTTTTAACTGCAGCTGCTCTGCAGCATGACGGTTTAAACGGGTCTATTTCTGTCTAATTCAACATTTTAAAATATCTATTACTGCTTAAATTTTGAAAGGTGGTATTTTTTTAATTTATGGTAATTCCAGTTACTGAACTCAACTAGAAAATTTTTTTTTTTTTTTCCTGAGAGATTCATTCAACCTTTATTTAGACAGGTAAATCCCATTGAGGCTCGCGGACTCATTTACAAGAGAGACCTGATTTCAACAAGGAATGATGACAACATGACAACAAGATTGACATAATTTAGTTAAAGTTATAGATCATTTGTCAAAGACTGCAGCATAAATTGTGACATTATCATTAAAGAAAAACGTGGATCAAAGACTGCAGCATAAATTGTGACATTATCATTAAAGAAAAACGTGGATCAAAGACTGCAGCATAAATTGTGACATTATCATTAAAGAAAAACGTGATTGTGGAGAGGAGTCAACTTTTTTCATGTTTTCCAGATAAATCACAGGAGAATGACGAGTGAACTGAATGTTGCATTCAAAGTATCACAAAGGTACAAGATCTCATTTTCTGTCTTCCCAAAACAATAACAGCTTAATCAAGATGTTTGAATAAGATTACTTTAACACCATAACCTTCACAAAGTTGGTATTTACTGCAGGACTGTTCATTTACATTTGTTTTATATTATTAGTTTAGCGTTTGATAATCATGGGTCAAGTTGAGATGAAGATGAAGAATTATTACCAAGAATATATCAGCATCAATAAACTGTAGAACAGTAACAAAAAAACTCATTAAACTATCACAGGTGCATTGAGATGGAGCTGGAAGTTATTCTTCATGCCAGTTGTCTTCATCTGATCTTTTGTGAAAATATGTCAGAATTTATTTTCCATTAACATTTTTCTTCACAGGACTGAGTTAATGTTCTTGTCTGTGAGTTTCTTCTATCCTGCTTATGTATTTTTTTGTGTTCTAGTTGTTCCCTCAGGTTGTTCATCTCTGTTCCCTGACTGCCTGTTGATCCATCCTCCTGGTCCTGTTGATCCTGGCTCATCAGATCTTGACATGTCCCCGTCCTCTGAGGAAACATTTTCATCTTTCTCTCATCTCACTTGCCTCATTTCTGTTTCTTCCTTCCTCAGTCTCTGAAATTACAACGTCACTGTTAGAATGAAGATTATTGTTCAATAAAAATATGACATGTCTTATTGTAACACTGTTCGTACCAAAGTTTAATTTAGAACAACATGTGTGATCACTGGTCAGATCACTGGTCAATGGATCAACATGCAGTGGAAGTTCTGCTGTTCTTCTCATTTGGTTCTGGTCCATAAACAAATGGTTGAACCTCCTTCAGTCTCACACGTCCTGACTGTCTCTGTGAACTGTCCTCTCTCTAAATGTGCCTGTAGAGTGACAGTAGTTTATTTTCTTGCACATTTCTTTGACAGTTAAACATTTTGAGCCCTGATTGAAAATATTTGTGCAGATTAAATTTACAGCACTCAATTTGTGTTGTTGTGATGATGATGATGATGATGATGTCATTAATAAACAATATAAATGGCAGTAAAAGTACTTTATTAAAGCTTGTTTTACATTTTACATATTTTATAATAAATTGTTTGGAAATTTATTTTTGCACAATTAACACTTATTTTGTCATCTGTTATGATTTTAACTAGAAACAGTTTAATTTAAATTAACATTTTAATCAATGAATTACAATTTATCCAATAGTTGTCAGGCTACAATCAACTCAGTTATCCAGGTACTTGGTTGCCATAACAAAATGACAAATACAACAATTATATTCAGGTCTCTCTTGTAAATGAGTCCTCGTGGCTCAATGGGACGAACCTGTTTAAATAAAGGTTGAATCAATATCTTCTATAGAAATCAAGAATTCATCCAGATGATCTAAGGTAAGCTGGAGCAGATCTTAACTGCATGGAGGACAAGGTGGAGCATTCTCATGCAGAGAACATCAGAAATAGCTTTATAACAGGTGATACTCTGATCTTTTTTTTTTTTACTTGTGTAACGTTATAAAACACTGACATGACTATATTAATCATTGTATTGCATATACATTTTTTTTTCTAACAAAAATGTGTTTGCAGTCTCGTTTCCTTCTAAAATTTAATGATAAATGTATCAGCCGCTTCTAAAAATGCTTTGATAAAATGCATAGTTTGTGAAATAATCAGTAATCAGTTCGTTACTGCTCAATAATTGCTGAAAGACGTCCGGTAGAGTAAGAAACGTCGATTTTTGTGTTGTGTTGCGCCAGCAGCCGCTCAAACTGACTGACAGGGATGAGCTGTTTGGAACTATTGACAGCTACATGAACCACGTGACCGCGTATCGGCGAGTTCAAAGAGTGTCGCAACTCTCTCTTTACAGGGCTCTGGAACACCCTACTACCCTAACAGAACTGTTTGCCCCTTCATGAAGGTGACAGCATGAAATCAATTATTAAACGTCTGTGTTTGCATTTGATCAATGCAGCTGAGGGAGATCCCAGAACTGATAAACCATCACCCCCACCCCCTCCTTCCACACCGCACCTGACCTTCTGGGACTTTTGTATCTAAAATCAA